AGCTTAATTCACTACATCGTATATTGTTTTGAATAAAACGCACTGCAATCATTTTAAGTTCTAACGTCTTCTCACTAAAGCCATTTAGTGAGATGCTTTATGTTGGTGAACCAGTTGTAGGATTATAGTAAGCATGTTTTACTTGTTGATGTTTCAATGTTTCTTTTGACAGGCAGTGTGTCTGGTATCGCGTGACTGCAATGTTTTCTTTAATACTTTCCTGATTCTCTGTTGCTTAGAAAAATATCCCTTTCGGGGAATAACGCAACACAAAAATGTTATTATATTGACACAGGTTTGCAAAATCGATTCTGAGGAAACTGCGATGAAATTGAACGGATTTATTAAATATTGAAACTAAGTAAATGATTTCAACATGCAATCACATTCCGAATAATATAAACACCACACTTTCCATAATACTAACATGGTATTACTTTCTGATAGGAACCAAAACTGTACAACTATAAACGCTTCTCAAAATAACGCAATTGTGAAAATATTCCATAAAACGACTGAGAGGAAAAGGTAATTGTTATTGATTAATTTGAAATGTAATTTACATTTTGATAATTGATTGCATAACTTTATATTTTAAATGCCTACTCCCTTTACATTTAATTACGATTCGAACGATTAAAGGCTATTCTGGACCCGCTATCGCCTCGGAGCCTATTTGCATTTCAATATCACTCCTTAATAGCCTTATCCTCTAGAAATCGTTTTATAGTAACATTTAAAAAAGGAAAACACCGATGTTAAAACCAATATGCCAAATAAACAGAAAAAGTGTTTGAACCTTTCGTTAAGGGTTTTTAGTAGCCGTTTTAGTTAGGCATAAGCGATTTTTCCGAAAGTTACTATTTTGTTAACAACATTTTGTATCCCTACATATTAATCAGGATAATCAGATGTTTTTCCAGTTTTATGTTTTTTTTTTTCTTTACAGCGATATCAGGAAACTTTTGCCTGCTTGGCCTTCAGTAATCTGTTTTAGGCTCGATATACTGTATTATAGTATTATTTAACATGGAGTGAAGCTAAAATATTACCACTAGTTTGAAATATTTACAGTCAGCTACTTAAACATGAATTTACATCAAAGCTTGAGTGTTCCGAATACAATCCTCGTTTGGAATGCAAGCTCTTTAAGACTTTTGGAATGTTTGAGAAACGCCAAAGTAAATTAAAGATCTAAATATCTTCAACAAACAAACTTGAGGCAGACCTTTCAAAACTGGGAAATGTCTTTGAGGTTATGAAGCAAAGAAAATATAACTGTTTCTGACTTGAATACTTTAATCTTTTTGTTTTGAAGAAACGGTTAGTTAAATAACTCTGTATTTTTACCATAATTTACTTTAGTTATTTATTATTATGTTTAAACTTTACGGTACATATATTGGGCCGTTTTCTTGTACATACAGCGCTTTGAGAACGTCAAGTTAAAGTTATATAGTGCTCGGCGTTTTAACAGGTAAAAAGAAAACACCAATTCTATTTTAAGTTAATTCGTTAAAGTAGTCAACATTAAGGATCAAGAATTTCCTTGAGATTTTAAAATTTTATAATTTCACAATTTATTTTATTATAAATTTATATTAGTAAAAAAATACTAAGGGAGTTAGTCGACACTTGTGAAAATCAACCGTAATAGCGTGCTGACCTTAATATGTTACAGAAAATATTTGCCAGATGGTTTGTCATTACTTCAAGTACATGTTTATTATAAAGATTTTAATAAGTCTATACATATTACAACAACCATTTTTTGCACATTCCTGTCGGTGGTTGACAAACTAATTACAGTATTTAAAATATAAATTGTAAGTAATAAAAAAGCTTTCCTGTTGTTAAGTCCTCTGTTTTCAATTTTTTTCCAATCCCTTGTAAGAACTTAGATAGGGGATATTGTATATTATTGTAAACAAAATTTAAAAAAAACCTCTTAGACCTATATTTGATTACTAAGACTGTCAACCTCTCTACTTATGATGTTTTGTCACCCTGAATTCAAACAATAATAGCTAGTTAAACCTAGTTAACATTTGCAATATATTTGGATGGGCTTAATTAAATCCAACAATAAAGGGTCGGGAGTGTGTGGATTCTAAATGGTGGAATTAAAATGCAAATAGGCTGTAATACAAAGGCCAGCTCTATATTGGTTGAATAGCAGTGCTGGATTTAGATACGTCTATCTTCAATTATTGAAACTATCATTGTTGCAGTTAAAGAGAGAGAACGGGATTACGGCTGGCTAGCAAGAAATGCCACTAAAACTATCAGCGATGTTCATTTATTTTATCATATCAGTCTGTTTTCACAGTAACTCGGAAATGTGTCCACAGATACAATCATAAATTAAAATTATGTTATCTAGTCTTGGAAAACTAGGCTAAATTCGCCCTTTCTATTGTGATTCATATGACTAATTTTACTGAGTATGGTGGAGTCAATTAAAGATGATTATAATTTGCTGTGTGAAATGTATCATTCGGTAGTCTGTTGGAGCTTTTTTTTTTATTTATGTCCAACCTACGTGAGTTGCTATTTGACATTCGGTGGAAAATTAAGCATTGCAGAATTATTTGATTGAAACCTGTATCATTTGAATTACTCTATTATAAAACACACTAAAACTATTTGTGATGTGGTTCTTATAGAATTGTATCAAGATTAGTGTTATTTTAAATCCAACCAGATAGACTGAATTCTGAGAATCGACGTTTTCTCTTTCGTCCTTGAGGTAGACCGTTGCTAGTTGGCATCGTTAACGTTAACGATTGCGATTCACTTCCGATGCATCGTTAACGATGGGAGATTTGTCTTGGTTCCTATCTCAAGCTATCTGTACGTTGCAATGTTTATATTTCCTTGCTGTGGTATACATAGATCATCCATGGGTCAATGAATACATTGGTTTGCTGCTAAGAGGAAGTCAAAATCGTTGAATTTGTAATGTTTTAATAGATCACAATGAAACACAGTAGAAATATTGGCCAAATCGTATGTTTAAATTCCCGTTAAAAGCAATCTACAGCGGTTTATTAATTGTAGCCATTAATGGATCTATTATAGAGACAATTGGGAGACAACGTACTGCGTTTTTCACTTTTGGTACATCCGTTACCAATAGGTTTAAAATATAAATGTATATAGTTCATTATTTTTATTTTTTAACTTATTTCAATTCCAACTTTGTTGCTTTAATGAATTTGCAAAGTTAAAAAAGTGTTAGTGGAAAATCATATTGTCATAAAAATTATCTTTTTCTGAACAGATGCCCTTTTTCAAACCCCCTTTGTATGTATGGATCGGGCTGGTTCGTAAACTTATCCAAATATTCGTTGGGTTTCGTATTTTATTTTAGTTACATCAAAAGTGGTTACTTTGACAAGAATTGATGTCACTGCCTATAAACAACAATGCATATGAACACTTTAACAGCCTTTAAAACAACAATGCATATGAACACTTTAACAGCCGATAAAACAACAATGCATATGAACACTTTAACAGCCTTTAAAACAACAATGCATATGAACACTTTAACAGCCGATAAAACAACAATGCATGTGAAAACTTTAACAGGCTATAAAACAACAATGCATATGAACACTTTAACAGCCTATAAACAACAATGTGAAAGAGCAAAGATAAAAAAAATTAAATGGTCATAAGACTTACCGTGATAACTACTAACTACTTAAAAGGTACAATAGATAATTAAATTATAAATCAGGTGTAACAACAATAAATCTTGAACTTTTAGTTCATTGTCAACTATATTAGGTAAAATTAATTTTTCCTATAAATTTAAAAAATAATATTTGTTTACCGCGTAAGTAATTGAATGGGTTAAATGAATACATATAGGGATTGGAATAATTGAATATGGCAATAAAGGCTGGAAAACGCCGGACTCTTAATTATGCAAATTCGCATGCAAATTTTATAGCAATACCAAACCATATTACAACCCAAATATTATCTTTGGTATTTCTCATCCTAATTTTTAAAAAGTTTTATTTTGGAGAATTTCCTGTCGAGAAGTATCTATTTCTTGTCTTCGTAGTCTGGAAGTACAACTAACTGTACTTGGTCGTTATAGCATTCTCACAAGTTAAAATACGGTTAATTCACATTATAAATTAGCTGTCATTTGAATAAAATCTAAAACAGGTATGTTAATAAATATTATTATTATGTTTGTTTGAGGTTGATCAACTAGTCTAATTTGACCTTGGAAAGGAGGAGAACTTAATTTTTGCAGTTAATTTATCTCGAAATTGTTTAACGTATTGATTGCCTCCATTCAAACCTTCTTCAGAGGTTAACAATTTTTGTTTGTTTTTTATCCGTTTGGTAGGATGGCAATACGCTGAATTATACCGGTACGCTGTCCCATATATTAACTTGATGTGGATTATATGAACTGTTATGTGTTATTTGTTTATAGATAAGTCTTATAAATAGTTTTATTTTATTTCACTGTAAGCTTAAAATATTTGGTTCAAAAGTCTCTCTGGAAGCAAGATGCCTTAACTTCAATTGATCCAATGATTGATCCAATGCTTTTACCAGTAACGTTTATTTTGTGTTAATTTAAAAGGTAACTTGCTTTTATTTTTTATTTTATTAATATGTATGTGTGGTATTTGTATGTGTGGTATTTCAAACCTAACAAATCGACGGAAATATGTTTAGTTAACAGATTTACAACGCAATAGAATGACACAAAATAATATACCAAATTAATGCCCCACTTTTATACAGCGATTTCCTACCAATCTCTGTGCTAGTTTTCTCGTCATTTCTACAGTTATATCATATAAACTTCTACAGGAATTCCTTCTGAATTTCTTTAGAGGTTTCTTTTAACTCGTGCAGCTGTTTCATATCAACTTACTTCTTTTGTTTATCTCTCTCATCATATTTTACTGCTGTATTATAGATGTTGTTATATCAGCACTTATGACGTGTTGTTTGTTCTACAGGTGCTCTCCAGATCACCAACAGTATGGAGGAGGACCAAGGCAAGTACGAGTGTGTCGCTGAGAACAGTGTCGGCACCGAGTACTCCCACTCCACCATGCTATATGTCAAAGGTAGGTCGACTCTCATCTATGATTATTAATAACTATATTGTGATTGTGTAGGTCAATTAATCAATTTTGGTTGACCTTACCTTTCTTAAAACTTTTACCACAAAGTGCTATAACAAAAACTGGTCCCAGAAGAAATCGGCCAAACAAAAAACTTACTCTAAACAAAAGATAATATTTACATAGGCTAGGTTTGCTTCAGTTTCGAAAATTAAGCCATAAAATAGTCAATGTGATGTGTACACTTACAATACAATACAATACAGTACAGTACAATTTTTTTAAAGGGATTGAAAAGTATTTATACTTCTTCATTTCGCTCTATTCATCAATTTATTCAGCAAGGGTTAGGAGCTTGTAAGATGATCACTATCTCTTTTGTCTGGCCGTATTATGTCTGAATAATCCAGAAAGATATTGGAAACCAGTGTAGTGCAGGGCTCGAGGAAAATATATCTTCTTTGTGTAAAACAAAGCCTTTGATATGATCCGATTTTACTTTAGAAGTTCAGAACTTGTATTTTATGGTCCGATGAATCCAATAATAACCAAATAATAAATTACTCTTGCATGTGCATAGTCGTTTCGATAAAACTATAGCAAAACTAATAACGAAAAATTTTATTGGCTTGTTTTTTTATTGTGTAACTAGCTTTTAGATAGAAATACATTAAGCGTGATATCAATCAAATAAAGTATAATAGTTAATTTTTACCCGTTGTTTCTTTGTAAAAGTATGGAAGAAATGCCAAAATCATACAACTTTTCCAGTCTTTAACTATGAAAGATTGTTGAAACCCTATTCAAAATAAGCTAGTGTACAAAACATTTGACTTATTACATGTTTTACATAAAAGAAAAAATACTCCCTGTTAAATTTATTCTGCCGTATTTTTGGCCTTTGATTTGCTTAAACTACTTGCCTACCATCTATATTCTCTATCGACCCAGTCCGATTGTTCAAGTTCAAACTACAGTGAGGCTCACAACAGTACTGGCTACTTAGCCCAGAGAGCACAGCTTGTAATTTGGTCATTAAGCCCTTCAGGCCCCCATTGCCCTTATCTCCTGTCTACACAGCTGATAATTGCTCTACCTATTCTCTCTCCCTCTCATGTAGCCCCTCTCTGTTCTTATTCCTCCCCTGCGTGACTTGACTTATTATTTCGTTCTCTTGCATCACATAGGTTTTCCCATTTTTTAAATCCTCCTTCATATTATCCTCTTATTTTCCCCCAATCCTCTCTCTTTTTAGCCTTTATCCTAATTCAATGTCATTTCGTGACTCTCTTTTTTCATATTTCAATTGCTATATATTATTTTTGTTTTCATTGTTAGGCTTCTGATTTTTGTTTAACAATCATCTGTATATTTTTTTGCTTTTTTAATTTCCCTATTTATAGTTTGTCCACTTCTATACTTTTTATATTTTCTTACACAATTTATCTTAAATACAGTATTTACTTTTTCCTATCTCCATTCATCATTATTTTTTCCATTGCAATGAAAACTCACTAAAGCCTACCTTCACACCGCAAATAACCGTCACATTTTCCTTGAGAACTTATGATGATTCAATTTGTAAATTTAATGAAGGTGTTGAAACATTGAATCGGGTTTATGTTTCCATAGTTGAGGTTGTTCTCTTACATTTTCTCATGCTGTTTTTTTTTAAACAGCTACCAACTGTTGACTGCTGAAGTTGGATCGTCATCCATAATTGCAAAGAAATTAATTACACTACCACGATAATTAATTTAAAATACCTTAATATAAACCGATTTTTACCACCACGCATCACCATTAGTATCTACATAGTATCTATTCATTCCCACTACAAATAACTCTTATACTAACAGTAAATATTCTGACACTTTTAAACCTATTAACTCGTTCCCATTTAACACTTCTTTTAATTGAAGTGAAAACTGGTACAAAGCGACGTCGCTCTTCTCCCTCAAAACGTTGGAATGAAGCGTTCATCGTGGATGGAAACATGTGGACAAAAGGCTAAATGTAAAAATGGAGCGGATTGAATGGTTTAAAGAAGTGTCGACCCATCAGCTAAGTGGGATACTGTAAACAATTCTGCAGCTGTCCGTTATGCTTTCATCCTCTCATTGAATGCTCTCTTGCTCTTCATTTGAATTCAACACTTCAACAATACACGGAGTATATTACCAGTTGAATGCGTAATGACTTGTTTTACAAGATGAAGTTGCCAGTCCTTTTGTTTGAAGTACAGATGCATTGATGCACGTTTATTTATGAGTTCGTATAAAATGTTCTAGTCTGTCTATATTTTTAGTTGATGAAGTAACATTATAAAGTGTAGATATTGAGCTGTTTCATGTTTCGTGTGCTAAAATTGCGATGTACAGCGCTTCGAAAAATAGACAATTGTGTCTTAATGAGATATACCTATATTTCTGCAAAGAGTGAAATAATAGAATGCCTTAACTTATGGAACAATTAAGGCAGTAATACTTGTATATACTTGATTTGGTCATAAATCTGTTGTGTACAAACTAAGTTTTCATTTTGGCAAAGGCAACTGTACTGTTACAGACAAAAATTTCAGATGTTAAATGTGTCCTTCTTTTATTAATTATGATACTTTCTCGTGCTCATTGACTTAAGTCATACGATTGCCTGTTTAAGAGTTTTTCGGATGGTTAGTGGAATATTTAAAATAAATTAAAATACGCATTACTTGTTCACTTAACAAAAGAAATGTTGAGCAAAAAACATCAATTAATATTAATATCTTAATATATTATATAATCTGATTTGATAATGTGACAACAAAACATGTTTATGTAATTAAGATATGTAGATATAAATGTATAAATAACAAAAACATAACCATCATATGCAATTGTACGTATCATTATGTTTTATACTCAATCATGAAATATTTTCCTCAGATTATGTTTCATTAGTAAGCAATATAAACTTATCCAGGTTATGTTTGGGGAGTGTAAGACAATTAATAGATGTGTTAGCAACAGATAGGGACAATTTGACCCTTGCAAGGCTTAGTGTGGGAATTACACCCAAACACCCAACCACTGATGCTACTGTACCGAAAGTTATTCATGTTTCCCTGGCCTTGCGCTATAAATGTGTCAACCTCTAGTTAACACTCTTATTTTATTTGCGAAATTAAATAGAAAACTGCTCAACATTTTTGTAGGCCTTCAAGGTAAGACTGAGGAAACAATATAATAAATACATGTTAAATAGTTTTTTGTTCGTTTGGGGTTCTCTATTTGCCAGTGCTGTGTTTATTTGTTTTTGCTACAATGTTATTTGTTCTTTCTTTTAAACAAATATAGTTTTTTATTCCCATATACGATTAGAGTGGTCTAACTACATATCTAGGGTTACCTGAAACAGATTTGTATATATTCTTTCAATTGGGAAATAAATCTCAGTTTTTCTTAACTTTCTACTTGACTTTTTTCTTATTTTTATGTAGACTAGTCATCCAAGAACATCCAAGAATTGGTAGTAGTAGTTTTGGTTGTAGTATCCACACTGGATGGGGCTGATCCTCACTCCACAATAATCTCATGGGTCTGCCTGTCTACTGACTGTTTCCTTTTTGAGAAAGCCAGTTGGTAACTGTGGATTTTCAGCGCATAAAAGCTAGAATATTGTATTACCGAATATAATCCCTCGTAATACTTTTTTATCGTTGTTTTAAAATCATACTAAACTCCTAATTTTATAAACATAACTAAACATTAATTATCCTCATACATACGGAAGTTTGCGTTCCCAAAAACGTCATCTGAGAACTAAAATATATTCTATCGGACGAGAATGGTTTAAAATACATTTCAGCTAAGTCAGGAACTTTGGTGCTCTATAATTAGAAAGCATTGTGGAGCTTAAATAAAGACAAGAGATAAAAGAGCAGCTGTTGTTTGATAGCAGATCAAAGTGTAAGCAGACAATGATGACTTCAAGTGTCCTTTGCTAGATTTACTCTACAAGCTGCACAGTGCTCGCTCTGCTTGGCAATTGTGAATTTTATATTTAACGCTTTAAAGTACCAGTTTTATTGTTCTATTGTGATATTTTACTATTTTTAATGTTTTTAAATTAAATTCCACTATTAAATGTTCCACCATTAAATTCCTAATTAATGCTATTTTGTATTTATTCAATGCTCTCAGGCAAGTAGTAAACATATAGTGTCCACCTAAATAAAACATAATTGAGTTTGAAACAGTCCTAACATATTATTGACTAAACGGATTTTTAATATGGTTCTCTTAATAGTCGTGAGGTTCCAAGATTTTGAAAGGCAGTCATAAAATTAGAACATTTTCCATATCATACATAAACAAGCAATATAATAATAAATGCAATTGTTCTCCTACTTAAGAACAACATGGAAGGCAAGTCACTGTTATGCATTGTAGAGTTCATTATTTAGGGCTACTAATTAATCTAAATATATAAAAGGCAAAGCCCTCACTGACTCACTCACTCACTCACTCATCACTAATTCTCCCACTTCCCATTTACCTAGGAGGCTGAAATTTGGTACACCGATTCTTTAGGCATTAAATAGGAAAACTAAGTTGTTTGTATTCTGATCGGACTCTCGGGCTCCGCCCCAGTGGCTCTGGAGTTTCCCATGTTAACCTTATGATTTTTCATATTTAAAAGGAATTAATGAATCTTATCAGCTGTTTCAATTAAACAAGTTGGTTCTGTTCTATGATGTTCAATAGCTTTAAAGTTACAAGGATTGCCAACAGGGTGCAGCACTATTATTATTTTTTTAATTTATGACAACAGCTAATTTGCAACTATACCCCTACCTTGTAGCCAATTAGGTAGTATACTTTAATTTAGGATGAATCTAATTTAAGCTGGTAGTAGAAGTGAGATAAATTAAAAGACAAAGTAGGCCAAAGATGCATTTATTTTACGGATGTCAAATTTCTCAAAATACACTTTCCAAATGAAATTAAATATGCAGTTGT